AAAAAAAAAAAAAAAAAATCTTTTGATTCTCCATCTCCGGTCTTTTACATTCCCCAGATCCAATAACGTAGATATCTAAAGAGAGATCAATCTCATCAGAATTTTTTTTCGTATCGTATATTTCCAAAATCATAGAGATTTTAGAATCTCTGATTTTTTGGAAGGGCTAGAGTCAATAAGAAATATTTTAGAGCTAAATCGAAAAATTAAGACGCACGATCAAATTAACTACTAGAGAATTTGTCTTTCAATAATGAAAAAAATATATAAGAGATATTCATTGCTCTCGATTTTCCAACCAACGACTAGATTTCTAATAATTAGAATAAGATATTCAAAGAAATATCTAAATATCTATCTATATTTATCATTTAAATTTGTAAATCTTATAATAATAAATTTCCTTATCCCAAATCAATTAAATATTATAAGCTAGATATTTTAAGAAAAAAATAATTCAATAATCGCCTCCCTTCTTCCATACTAATAAATTCAAGAATCTATTTATATCTTCGATATTATAAATTCCCATATTATTAAGAGAATCTATACTTCATAAGAATCATTAAAGAGAATATATTGCGAAAGAATTAAAGACGATATAGAAGGACCTAATTTGTCTCAATATCAATTTTTCTATCAGAAAATATATTCTGTCATACATATTTTAAGAGAAATCTCTTTCGTTTAGAATATAAGAAAATATTTTTTTTAATGTTCTAGATATTTTTGATAGAATTTTTACGATTTCATATAATTTATCTTTCGTCCTATTTACGCCATTTAACGTCATTTATTCTATTTGGCCCATTTGCCCCATTTCTCCTCTCGTTGGGCTTCAAATAGCCACTTGAGGCCCCAAGTAATCATTGGGCACAAGGCTCAAATTGGTCAAATGAGGCGGGCGGACGCCCATCAGCATACTTCTAGACTATTCTACAGAAAGAAGTTCCAAGTTCTTTAGGATTGACGGGAGATAGTTCCCTCAAATTATCCTTTCTGTGGATATTTTAATCTAAATCTTCGATTTCTTGAAAGCCGCGCGTATGGCTCTGAGCGCCTGGATGGAATCTGCCCTTGCTTCCCTGCCTTTGGCAGTTCGGCGGGAACAATGAAACTATCAGATCTTCATGCCTTAGCCATCTAGCCTTTGTAGCCTGTGGCAGTGAAACACTCAAAGGACTTCCTTGGCAACGTGCACAGCAGCTCATCGCTGCACTTGTACATGCACGCACATGTTGACTTGTAAGAGGCTATCTGACCTTGAAGCCTTTGCAAAATTCACAGCATCCCTAGCAAAGTTTGGCGAAGAACTTCAGCATTACTTCAAGACTCGGGTTCATGGCGCCCTGAAACCTGTCAGGAAGTAAGCCCCCTGCGATGATGCCTCCTGTGATGTCATCGACCGTGTCGACTGCATCGCTCATCGAGCTCTTGCGAAGTTGAACAATCTGAAGGGAGCGAGACCGTCAACAAGCTTTTCTATTGCAGGCCCGACCCTAAATTAACCTCTCTCACAGGAAAGGTACCAAGCACTTTGCCAGAATTGGCCGATTGAACTGGATCGGATTCACAAAGGGCCAACAACGGGAGACTTGGGATTTTGTTTGGCCTGGCCTCTGTTAGCCTCATAAGATACCCGTAGCAGAGTGTATAACACGAGCGCTTGGCAAGCACATGCCCATACCTGTTAACAGTCAGGAATCGCCGACTTCAAAATGCCATCATTGTCAGTACAAAGAGCGATACTGCATGTCATGTCATGGGGATCTCTTCCCACATGTACAGCTAAGCAGTCTTGATGTCACAAAAACCTTACGGGTTTCTGTGAGAAAGGAGCACAGCATTCACTTCTGGGAAGCCCAGCTCCTAGAAGCCGACACCCCTTAGCCCTGAACCGTTCATCCATGAATCATCCGCCATGCTTCCGACAACCTCCTCTATGACTGCCATGCGAGAACCAACCCAAGCTGAGGAACCGAGTTCACCACGGCGTACGTTGGGAGAATGGCTGAGCTCAGCAAGTTTCCTTGCATCCCGGGACCTTTCAGCACTCTTTCTGGGCTTCTTCGCAAGTTCAATCCTACCCCTATGATTTGTGCACTATTGTCTGAATATTGGTCTTGAAGAGCACTCCGCCCTGAACCCTGAAGCCTTGCAAAAGTTCTGTTCTTAGGACCCTTTGGGCGGACAAGTGCAAGGGCGTATGGCCGCACTTTTGGGAAGGGCTTCTCGCAGTTTTTGCTCTTGGTGGTGGGGTGTAACCTATTGCTGCTATTCTATGCCTGGACTATCCTTTGGGTCTGAGATTGTGAGCCAGGGCTTGGACATTCATATGTTGTATAAGGGTGATGACGAACACATTATCATACTTCTGTTCTTTCTGTGGGGTTCACGACGGTCGTTTTGCTTCGTCTTCTTGCGAGTCGGAAGGCAATCAGCCTCGTCAGACGACATTGAGGTATAAATAGGCCTGCGCGTCTTCTTTTCAGCCACGGGACCAGCGTACGTGTTCCGCACCTTCAGCTGCAGAATTAAAAGCGCCACTAGCGCAGCCACTCCTTCCTAAGTTGCGGCGTTGCAGCGTCAAGCCAAGCACAACAAGGTGGGCAACAGTCTGTCTGTTTATACATCTCAGAACACACGGAGCCTAAGCCTACCTACTCCGATTCGAAGCACACCCACATGAAGGCCCCGCATGGTGTTACCGATTGAAGCAACTCAGACCTCATTGGACCTATGTTTGCAAGGGTTCTCAAAGCTGGCCATGAAAGCTCGAGCCGGCCCACAGGCTGTACTGCAGTCTCCTTTCAAGGGGTATGAAGGAACCTCCAGGAAGCACAAAGGAGCCTCCGAGTAAACCCGAGCCGAAGGAAGCCACGAAGAAGACCCCGAAATCGTGCACGCGTATCGCCGAGGAGCCAGCACCAGCATGATGATTGCGCCCGTGGTCAAGCCCAATCTGCTTATCCTAGAGGAGCTCAAGGCAGGCACGGAGAACTAGAGGGTAGTGCCCGAACTGGATAAACGACTTAGAACTATGCGGCCTCCCTTTTCAAGGGCAAAGTCTCGCCTTAAGCCTTACATGGCCACTTAGCAGAATTCGCACTTTCGGCGGCGGGCCGAAGATTAGTAGGAGTTGACCCCGAACCATAGGGACCTTAGGGAAGCGGGTCGAGCACACTGCCTGGCCCACATCTGACTCTGAAGCCGCTAACTCAACTTGTCTGAAGCTAGGGATCTGGGAAAGGATGAATCCTTTAGAGCCTTTGCCGTGCAAGACGTCCATGTAGTGTCGCTGGAGGTCCTTGCTGACAATTCAAGGTTTGGTGTTTCAGGTCGCTTGGTTGATCTTCTGAAGCCTTCAGATACCCTGGAAAGCTCTGCCTTCGGAGCTTATCATGACAAGCGGTGACTGTCGCCTAGCACAGGCAAAAACGATCCGATGGGACCACATGGGCTCTACAATGCAGCATATAAGTGTGTGTTTTATGCACTTCTGCGGCAATGCTTTAGCGATCCCTACTCTTTCAGCCGGGAGTGCTCGCACATTTCTGTCTGTCAGTCATTCAGGAACCGTCAAACATCGTCATCAATCTGCTTCCAAAATTGCAAAGTGTTGCCAGGGCTCCTTCATCTTAATTGCAATGATATACCTGGGCTGCAAGTCCACTTGTGAAAAGTGGGTCGTGCCAGCTCTTCGGAACAGGAAACCGAAAAGGACAGCTACCAAAATGCCGGTGAAATACGTGTAGGCTGCAACGGTACCTAGGGGGCTCAAGGCATCTGGAATCAGATCCTCATCGATCGCAGACATCGCTGTCAGGTAGATGATGGCAGTGACAATATACCTGAACATGAAGAGGTGCTCGAGGCATACAGTAACTGTTCATTTTTCAGCAACGACTGGGGACTTGAATTGTTCCGACCCACAGCTAAGCGAACAATCCTCTGCAGGCTCTGTTTCTTTAGGGACGGGTTGCCAAGTAGCCAGTGGTGTGGCTTTATGAGTTTGGCGTGCCAACTCCCGTCTTAATCCTACTGACAGGTTCCCTGTGTGCAGCGGCAGATCGCTACTTCCCATCACTTGTGGCAAGTGGCACAATTGTCAGAATCGTCCAAAATGCCAGGCATGCTATCTGCAGCAAGCTCAGCGAGAAACGGACCATGCCATGGTCAACTGAGGCATAGTAGAAGGTCCCCAAGAGGATGATGCACAGGCCGTACGCTGAGATCATGGTGTTGAACGCAGGGGCCCATGCCTCGCCATCTCACAGGAAATGTCCCAAACAAAACCAACAAAAACCAGCAAAATCTGACTGCAGCCACGGCTACGGGCAGCAAGCAACATGCGTAGCATGGAATCAAGCACACTGCGCTGAAGACCACGGCATGGAACAGTGACGAAATCACCGCCATCCCAGCCTGGGGGGCAAGTAGTACTGGTATAATATAAGGTAATATAAGCTATATGAGCTACGGTCAAATCTCGGTATATAAGCTAATGGACGCCAA